CCGCCGGCCCGCCCTCGGATCGATGACATGGAGACGGCGCGGATCGGTGATGTCAGCATATATTGACGGCCGCCGTTAGCCCTCGTCGGCGTAGTTCCGACGTCGTCAAACGGCTGCCGCTGACCGGGCAGGCGGGCCCAGGTTATGCCGACGACCTCATATATGCCGACAACGCCCGTAGGCGTATCGTGAGTAGTCCCGACGGCCGTAGTATGCCGTCGGGGGCCGTCGGCATAGATAGGCATATGCCGACGGCTTTCCTGCGCCTACGGCCCGCCCAAGGCCGTCGGGATATGTTCATCTATGCCGACGGGGGCCTGTTTGCAAATTTTTAGAATCCTCAAATTCTGAAAGAAAAAAAAAGATATGCTCAAATTTCAGTTTTTTGACTTTTCGTTAAATCTGGTTAAACTGTGGTCAAACTATGGTCAAACTACTTATTCAAGAAATATTAGTGTTAATAAATATATTTTTTAGTTTTTTTACTTTTGGTCAAACTGTGGTCAAACTATGGTCAAACTACTTATTCAAGAAATATTAGTGTTAATAAATAATTATTTTTAGTTTTTTGACTTTTGGTCAAACTGTGGTCAAATCTGATCAAACTGTGGTCAAACTATGGTCAAACTACTTATTCAAGAAATACTAGTGTTACTAAATGATTATTTTTTAAATAATAATTTCAAACTCAAAAGGTGCTTAATGCTCGAGTTCAACTCCTAAGGGTTAATAGGATTGACACCTTAGTATTGTTAGGATAACAACAAGTGCAGACTTGAAAACTAGGGGGAATAAACTCAAAAGTTCGCGTGCTCAGGCTGGAGTAGTGAGAGAATGGGTGACCTGCCGGGAAGTTAGACGAATTGGAATGAGTGGTTCATAATTGAGCAGTGAGCAGTGATTAGAGTGGGTGCTTAGAGATTAAATTATTAAATAATTCAGAAATTTGAAAATAAGAAAAAAATTCAGAAAAACAAAATTTCAAAATTTAGTCCCGGTTGGTGTTACCAACCGGGACTAAAGCTGGAGCTTCAGACAGCAGCCACGTGGAGCTCCTTTAGTCCCGGTTCGTAAGCAAACCGGGACTAAAGGTTTGGGCTTTAGTCTCGACCCTTTAGTCCCGGTTCCAGAACCGGGACTAAAGGCCCTCTGGAACCGGGACTAATGGCCCGTTTTCTACTAGTGACTTATAACAGTTAGCTACAAATATATACAACCATGTCCCATCTTACACTCTCACAAAGTATTTAGGAGCACGTGTTGCAGCTGACTGTTAATATACAATCCGCTTCTCTTCTTTCTCTCTTCTTTTTTCCTTCAACTTAGCAAGAATATATTATTTAACTATTTATAGCCCACTTACATCCGAATATCCATTTATGAGCTCAGGCTCATCTGCACCGGTGAAGAGAAAATTCACAAAAAAATACTAAATGAATCCAAAAAAAAAAATCTGAATATTGTTTTCGCATAGTGCGTGAGGTGCGCTCCAAATTTCATATCATTTGGACATATGGGTAACTATTAGTAAAAAATATAAATTGGGCCAGAACAATACATCATATACCTCAAATTTGTCTTTTTTTGCCGAGAGCTACTCAGATGTTCAAATAATCTGAAATTTGGAACGCACCTCACGCACCAAATTATCTTCCATGCAAAAACATATGGAATTTGTTAAATTTTTCTAGTATTTTTTTTAAAAAATTTGTTCATCGCAGGTGTAGCACCAAATCACCCTATTATACTTGCTCTAATATGTTAGTACTATTACATAGGGCTTCCCAGCAAAAAATGACCCTGCAAAGTAATAAATGAAAGCCTTTATTTTATCAAACATATGACACTATCTACTATGAAAATCAGAGAGACGTATGGCTTAGTTTCGTGATGTACATTACTTGGTTTCTGTAATCTCTTTGATCATGGTTTTAAGGGGAGACCGTGGACTTATATGATATACTCCCTCCATCTTTATTTGCTCTGCATATTATGTTTGACTGAAGTCAAACTTCATAAAGTTTGACTAACTTTATAGAAAAAAATATAATCATTTACCATAAAAATCTATATGATGTGAAAGTACAGTCAATAATGAATCTAATGACGTTGATTTTTTTATTATATATGTTAATATTTTTGTTTATAAACTTTGACCAAAGCTAATAAGCGGACTAAATAAAAACGGAGGGAGCACATAACAGCATAATGGGGGAAGGAATGTTAAATCCAGAATAGAGTGGGCTGTGGCTACTCCTTGCTGGTCAAATATGTTCAGGTTTGCAACAGTTACTCACATTGTTGCTTCAAGGTCTGATCATGTCCCCCTTATGTTATGTTTGGCGAAGCAGCAACAGCCGAGAAAGAATCATGGCACATTCAAGTATGAATACATGTGGGAAAGAGATAAATCGTTGAAGGCAGAGGTTGAAAGGGTATAGGTCAGCAGCCCGGCTATAGGGATCAGATCTTGATGGAATTGCTTAGAAACTAAATCTCGAATATACACAAGTGTGCATATCATATACTCCCTCCATCCCATAATATAGGAATGTTTTTGACATTAGTATAGTATCAAAAACGTTCTTATATTATGGGACAGAGGAAGTATTAAAGAAGGAAAGGCAAAGAAAGCCTTCACTGGTTATTTACAAATATGGTGATTTCTCACACATATACAGCTCCACTCCACATACTACAATTTAGACTACTCCTCCCCACTGCTCCACCGTACTAAACCTGCAAACACAAAGTCAACGTTTCCTTTCATAAGTAAATCCTCCCTTCGGCTTCGATTTTCTGCATGAGACAACCGGTCGACGACAAGGCACCATCAAACACAACTTTGTAGGAGCAATTATCAGGGCCGGCCCTGGTGACACACACGCA